AAAAATAAATAAAAATAAATAAAAATAAATAAAAATAAATAAAAATAAATAAAAATAAATAAAAATAAATAAAAATAAATAAAAATAAATAAAAATAAATAAAAATAAATAAAAATAAATAAAAATAAATAAAAATAAATAAAAATAAATAAAAATAAATAAAAATAAATAAAAATAAATAAAAATAAATAAAAATAAATAAAAATAAATGAAAATAAATAAAAATAAATAAAAATAAATAAAAATAAATAAAAATAAATAAAAATAAATAAAAATAAATAAAAATAAATAAAAATAAATAAAAATAAATAAAAATAAATAAAAATAAATAAAAATAAATAAAAATAAATAAAAATAAATAAAAATAAATAAAAATAAATAAAAATAAATAAAAATAAATAAAAATAAATAAAAATAAATAAAAATAAATAAAAATAAATAAAAATAAATAAAAATAAATAAAAATAAATAAAAATAAATAAAAATAAATAAAAATAAATAAAAATAAATAAAAATAAATAAAAATAAATAAAAATAAATAAAAATAAATAAAAATAAATAAAAATAAATAAAAATAAATAAAAATAAAAATAAATAAAAATAAAAATAAATAAAAATAAATAAAAATAAATAAAAATAAATGAAAATAAATAAAAATAAATAAAAATAAATAAAAATAAATAAAAATAAAATAAATAAAAATAAATAAAAATAAATGAAAATAAATAAAAATAAATAAAAATAAATAAAAATAAATAAAAATAAATAAATAAAAATAAAATAAATAAAAATAAATAAATTAAATAAAAATAAATAAAAATAAATAAAAAATAAAAATAAATAAAAATAAATAAAAATAAATAAAAATAAATAAAAATAAATAAAAATAAATAAAAATAAATAAAAATAAATAAAAATAAATAAAAATATATAAAAATAAATAAAAATAAATAAAAATAAATAAAAATAAATAAAAATAAATAAAAATAAATAAAAATAAATAAAAATAAATAAAAATAAATAAAAATAAATAAAAATAAATAAAAATAAATAAAAATAAATAAAAATAAATAAAAATAAATAAAAATAAATAAAAATAAATAAAAATAAATAAAAATAAATAAAAATAAATAAAAATAAATAAAAATAAATAAAAATAAATAAAAATAAATAAAAATAAATAAAAATAAATAAAAATAAATAAAAATAAATAAAAATAAATAAAAATAAATAAAAATAAATAAAAATAAATAAAAATAAATAAAAATAAACAAAAATAAATAAAAATAAATAAAAATAAATAAAAATAAATAAAAATAAATAAAAATAAATAAAAATAAATAAAAATAAATAAAAATAAAATAAATAAAAATAAATAAAAATAAATAAAAATAAATAAAAATAAATAAAAATAAATAAAAATAAATAAAAATAAATAAAAATAAATAAAAATAAATAAAAATAAATAAAAATAAATAAAAATAAATAAAAATAAATAAAAATAAATAAAAATAAATAAAAATAAATAAAAATAAATAAAAGTAAATAAAAATAAATAAAAATAAGTAAAAATAAATATAAATAAATAAAAATAAATAAAAATAAATAAATAAAAATAAATTAAAATAAATACAGAATTGAGGGGTAATCCACTAAGGTATTTCAGAAATCACCTAAAATTCATATGATTTCGGTGATTTTGTTGAAATCTCCCTTAATTTTATACATTACCGGTAATTTTGCCGAAATTTCCCTTAGTTTCATAGAATATTCGGCGAAATCATTGCATAAAAATTCCGTAGATTTCCCTTTAAAATGTTTTCAAATGACCATTTTTAACTTTTACTTCTGTTTTGGTCCACCTTTTCAGTTTTTTATTTTTTTTGTATTTTTCGTTTTTGTTTTCTTTTTGTTTTTTTTGTTTGTTTTGTTTGACTTTTTTTTTTGTTTTTCATTTGTGTTTAATTTGTTTTTCATTTGTTTTTCATTTGTTTTTCATTTGTTTTTCATTTGTTTTTAATTTGTTTTTAATTTGTTTTTCATTTGTTTTTCATTTGTTTTTCATTTGTTTTTCATTTGTTTTTCATTTGTTTTTCATTTGTTTTTCATTTTTTTTTTCATTTGTTTTTCATTTGTTTTTCATTTGTTTTTCATTTGTTTTTCATTTGTTTTTCATTTGTTTTTCATTTTTCATTTGTTTTTCATTTGTTTTTCGTGTTTTTCATTTGTTTTTCTTTTGTTTTTTGTTTTGTTGTATTTGTTTTCTTTAGGTTTTTTGTTTTTTTTTTGTTTTCTTTTTTTATTTTTTGTTTCTTTTCTTGTGTTTTGATTCATTTATAATTCTGAGCAATAAATTGATTTCAAAGTGATTTCGACCATGATTTTCGTGACATTTTCGTAAATTTCGGGAGATTTCGGTGATTTGAATTGAAATTAAAATAAGTTATATTTAAGACATGTTTCAAAACACTCTGTATAAAATAAACCAGTTCCATTACCACTATTTGTTAGCTTAGTATCTTATAAGTCGGTAGTTTAAACAATTTTGAAATCATAAATTTTTCTAGGCCTGAATAAAGTATTACCAAATTATTCTAAAACTAAAATAAAATATAGGGTACTCTATTTAAAAAAATTTAATTTTTATTTGTATGTATCCAAAAAGATTTTTAAAATATGTATTTTTCAAATAATTATAACTTATTTGCGTGTCACACAAATATAAATATTGAACAATTACGCATTAATGGGACACCCTGTAGAATTAAAACTTCATCAAGATGACACTCGTCCTCATTTTGTTAATGTCGGACATCCTACAGTTCTAATGCAGTCCCATTCTACTTAAATTTACCCCTCTAAACATAAAAGAAAACAAACAGAATTGGATGTTATTAAGGCTCTAGAACTGATTTTGTAGAAACTCTCAAATAATAATGGTGGCTCTGTTCAGTTGGAATAATGGTATTGCTCTAGGGGCACTATATAAAAATATGATTAAATTATTGTTGCTTAAGATCAAGTACTGGGGTAGTACACAACTCATAAATACAATATACAGACGTCCTAGAATATGTGGGCATCTTCCAGATTCAAGTAGAACACAAAAAAAATATAACAAATTTTTATATTTTTATTTCCCTACAGCCCTTTCTACGAAGATACGGGTTCATACGAGACGCCCCTGCAAATTAATAAAAATATATAAAACAAAAGAATTTCAGGGGTTCGTTATGGCCCCGTTTTTCAGTAGGGTGGGCCTTAGAAGAAAATTATAATTTTATGTATTCTATCAACTTATTCTGGAATACACTGTATAACTGTTGATATTTTTAAATTATTATATTTCTGAATCCGTCTAAAAGTAGCCTTCATTTCCTAAAATCAAAATGGAAATTTTGTTTTTAATTTTCCTTACATCTTGTATACGTAGAATCTGATTACAATAAGAAGAACACAGCTGCGTTATAACTATTATTTTGAATTCCAAATATATATCAGCTATAAATGTTAATAAATAAAAAAAAAATGTCAAAACATATAATTCCGGCATTCCTATAATATTAAAACACCACTAAACCCCCAGTAGGCGGCGATAGTCAAAGAATTACTCCGCCAATTGATGACGTTCTTCTTATTATAATCGAACTCTAACAAATGATATTAATATTACAACAACCCTATTTTGACAACTATTTCCTTAAGGTGATTACAGCACCCCCATATAATAATTAATTTCGGCAAATTTTAAAAAATCAATTACAAGAGATTAAGAACTTAAATTTTGAGATTATATTAAGAATACTGCTGTTAAGGAACGCATATATTTTCATTATGATATTTTAAAATTTAAAGCCCTTTGATTTTTTTTCTTGGAAACTGGAAATAATTTAAACTTTAAAATATAAGCGAATTCTAGATATTATTGTCTAATTCATTTTTACAAAATTTTAATTAAAAAAAAAAATTACATTTTGAGATATGCTTGTCCGAAAATTATAAGGGGGTGCTGTAATCACCTTAAGTTAACTTTAATTTTCCGGTATCAATAACGACTTCCTATCTTAACTCAAGACAAATTTTGATATTTTAATTCCAAATTCAAAATATTGGCCAACATCCTCGACAAACAATAGTTTATTTTGTAAATGAAAGAAAAAGTTCAGTGACTTAATTATATCCTCGACTAATTATATCCTGATTGTGTTATTCATTTCTTGCATGACAACAAACAAATTAGATATAGAAAAACGTGCATATCCAACAGAGAGTTGCAGCCCAAGTATTTTGAAACCATAAAAGTATTTAACCATTTATTTATTAATATCAATTATAAAAGACTTTTTCGAATAAAATTTTTCATATTTTTTAAATTATAAACTAAAAGATCAATAACTGTTAGTTATAGAAAATAATAGAACTGATTTCATATTCATCAAGAATTTGACCGTGATTTCAATTTAATATCAAAAAGGTTGAGTTATAAGTCTAAATCAACTAGTGAGTTAAAGCTTATAACTAACTAATTTGTTACTGGTCATTTACTAGGCAATTTACAGACAAGTATTAGAAATTAAAAATTAAAAAAAAAGCGACTTCAAAAACGTGCAGATGCCATCACCACATCTTAACTAAATTTATATGGGACTACCCCTGAGGTACCCCCTTACTAGCAAAAAAATAATCATATAAATCGCAAGGTGGTAAAGCATTATCGCTAAACATACATAAAAAAAATGAAGAGTTTGAGGATTTTCTCATGGACCCAATTATTAGATTTTGAAAAAATTTATATGAGACCACCCCTGAAGTACCCCTTTTCCAACACAAAAAGAATTATTGAAATCGGACACCGTGTTAAAGAATTATCGCTGAACATACATAAAAAAAAATATCGCGACGATTTGAGAACCTCCTCCTTTTTTGAAGTCGGTTAAAAAATAAAGGTTTTAAAAATAATATTTTTTCGATAAATCTTATTTATTTTAATTTCATTTTAGAAGAAAGACCTACGAGACCAAACGACAAATATTCCAGTCAAACCTTTTCATATTTAGAAGAAGGTTCAAACATAAATAATAACATCTACCAAGAAGAAAGAGAACGATTTAACCACAGGTGTTCGGAAAGGTTAGAAAACGCCTTGGATCAAGTCAGAAGAAGGCAGATATCTAGAAGAAAAACCCTTCCTCTAGACGGATATTCGCTTCATCAGCAATTGAGAAGCGCCCCTTTCGACATGTATGTAACAAATATGAAGATTAGACTGCCTTCTAATGGCGGATGGGTAAGACATTTATATTTTCGTTCTTCTTTTCTAGGCTAGATAGTTGATGACATTGTAATGTTATGTTCCGTTAGCCTCACTTCTATTGGATGCATGTTTTTTTCCTATATATGATTATCCATACTTGATATTTTAAATTTATATTAAAATGTAAAAATTATATTTTGGTAAAATCTCAGTTACATTAGTTCATGACAGTCACATTTCAAAAATATTACTATATTTTTTTTCAAATAATGTTTGTGAACAACGCGTTATTTAATACAATAAATTTCAGCAGTTTTTTAATTATTCAAGGCTACAAACCAAATGTTTATGTTTTTAGGTTAGAGTAGAGAAATGTAGATTTAATCCAAGGAATTCAAGTCTGGAAACAAGACTGCTTTTTAATGATCTCACCATTATGGGGAAAGTAAATCTATTTAACGGTGCTGACCTTCAAAGAGAACCTATTGATCCTCTACCAGAAGATACTTGTAATATGATTTTGAGATTACGGAAAGCTGGCATTGGGTAAGCCGGAATTAATTTTATCAGAGTTTAGACTATTTTGACTCCCAGTAGAAAATAAATAATAAATGATAAATCCTTACCTTAATTTCTGGTCTTTTTTTCTTAGATTTCACACGGAACCAATTCGAAGAGAACAAGGCCACTTTAATGTCAAGACGAATTCTCATTTTGTAGAACCAGGGTTCATCTCGGTGTACGCATATGGTTGCGAACCCAGACTGAAAAGAGAATTCCGACAAGAAGATGAAGAGCAAGATGATGGACTGTCTAGGGAAATGGAAGACATTTTTTTGAAAGGTAAGATAACTGAAATCTACAAAATTTAAATAGGGTAATCAAAGCCGCGCACAGACCGAATTTCCAACGTTGACCAATACAAAAGGCACATGTGCTGTCTTTGGCGTTGGAATTAGAAATCAATGGAAAGGATTTCGACTATCGAACGTTAGCCAATGCCAACGCATCCTAACATAGTTGGCGTTGGAAATTCGGTCTGTACGCGGCTTAATATAAATTAGTATGAAATAGACTACTAAATGCTAAAAGATAGACTAAAAGAACTGAAATGTCTAAAATTTTCCCGTGGCTTGTCACTCGGAACAGTGATTCTTATGTGCAAACTCGACACACATGTATCGAATGGAGTGATTGCGTCTTGACACTCAACTCGACTTACTTGACATTACCTAAAAATCTACTGGCTCTAGTAAATAGTTTGTCTAACGATAGATAGCGTATCGATATGTGACGTATAAAAAGATGAGAAGCTCACTATTGTTTTCAATACGTATTTTCTTCTTCCATTTTTAAAGAAATGGAAAAACATCAAATACGAACTCTATATGCATATATTGGCACGGAATTGAGACACTTCTGCTACCATTACATAACTTCCATCTAGTCCATAAATCTCCCCTTCATTCAAGGAATATTTGCATATGATTATGTAAAGGAATAAACGTGAAAAAAATGAAATAGAAGCAGAATAGAAAGTTATTAGAGAAAGTATAGATTTAGAGCAGAAGAAAATATTGGGATTGCAAAGAAAAAAAGTAACAAAATAATGGTACAATGAAAAATGTAGTGAAGCAACATTAAAAAAGATACAAACAAGAATCAAGGCGGCTAGCGAAGACAATCCAGTTTGTTGCACTCAATCTTTAACATGGCCAGTTTTTGTACATTGAACTCCAGTATCTGTTCACTGAAAGTAATGCTTTCCACACATCATGAAAAGTGGATCTATCTTGGACAGTGATATTTGTTACAAGACAAAAAGGTATTTCATTTTAAGGCTTTCCCAGGAACCGGTAACTGACTCTGATATTTTGATAATCGACTAAACTTTATTGGGAACACAGAAGTTAGTCCTCGCGGATCATTGATGCTGGCTGAAATAGCATGGACCAGCAAGTAGTCTTTTGGAAGCGTCAGCAGATCTTACCCGGTATCTCCATATGCACCCATACATTCTTTAAAGATTAGGTCAGGTATTTCTTGAAGTTGGTTACTTCCTCTTCTTCGTCACAGTCACCCTTAAATGGCGATTTTGGGCACACTACCTTCGGTTTATCATTCGAAATCTTACTTATACGGTAAATGCCGTCAATAATTTTTCCTTGATGAGGCATGGACCTTTGAAGCTTCGGAGAATAACTCTTTTGCTTTTTTGGGTTATGGAGCCAGACTTTGTCATCTTCTCAAAAACATCTTTCTGTGGCTTGGGTTATCGTACCGCTTCTGCATCTTGCCGCTGGCGATTTAAAAATGCAAGCGAACCAATGTATGCATATCATCCAGTTTTCTTCGTAGATGGACCACATAATCTTCACTGAATATGTCTTCTCCAGGTCAACATTTAAACTCGAGGTCGCACAGTAGTCTCATCTCGTGCCCGAACAGGACTTTGCTGGTGTTTGGCCTGCAGATTTATTAACAGCGGATCTATAGTCCATTGCAAAGAGCGAAAGATACTGATCTTAATCTCGATTATGGTTGAAAAATTACTTTTGACAGGTACTTACAATGGTCTTATTCATTCGGTCTACCATTTCATCCGACCATGAGTGCCAGGCAGTAGTTCTAGTTTTCTTTATGCCTAGTCTGTCATAGATTTCTCATAAAAACTGGCTTCCGAAATGTCTGCCTTGGTCACTGTGGATCTCCAATGGCAATTCAAATCGATTGCAACAGTTGCGGCTTTTTAATGTGGAATGGTGTTGACTTTCACCCACTTCGTGAAATAATCCATAACCACCATCATGTATTTATTACCATCCTCGGTTATGGGGAATGGTCGAGCAATATCTAAGGCAATCCTCTCAAATGGGCTACCGAGGTTGTATTGTTTCTTGGCAACCTTCGTTTTCTGTTGAGATGGTACAATTCTTACAACAGTCCTTTGTATTATTGGAACTGTTCATCCAATAAAACCTTTCACGAACTCTCTGAATGGTTTTCTTAACACCGAGAAGTCTTGATGGACTGTCGTGTATCTAACGAAGTACTTCGGCTTCTCTAGTCTTTATAATGACTAAATGTCCTCTGTTTTAGAAATCAAGTAGTTGCTTTAATAAGCCTTCTTTCAGTATAAAAGTGTTAAAAAACCAACTATGACTTGACCACTGGAGAGAGTTTTAATACTTTTTTCCAAATAGGTCGACGATTTTCCTCTTTCGATTGTCGCATCTTCTTTAAAACATGATGTTCTTCTTTATTGTGATAGGATCTCACTCATCGTTAACTACCGTTGATCTTCGTAGTGCAACTTCTTTAGCAGACGTGGACAACCCCTTTGCAGCGGAGTTACTCGTGTCGTTTCACTTCAATCAGGTATCATAGTTCCTTACCGGTGTGGTTTTTCGATTCGTAGTGATACTAGGGCGTTTGCTTGAACTGCGTACATGTCCCATTTCACCGCAATTTCAGCACCTGATAGTCTTCAAATATGTCTCGGATTAAACTCCACTGTTACGCCCACATGTAGCCTATTTATATAAATAAGTGAGCGCTGATAACATTAGATTGTAAATTCTAGTGATATCGCGAACATTCCTATAGCCTTATGCCATGAATTAAAGTATCTAGAAGTTTCGCTACGGCTCCAGTACTTGTCATGATGTTTCTAGAAAGCACCTCACACTTCCACCATTTCGCCATTTCACCATTTTGCAATTTAGCCATTTCACTATTTCGCTATTTCGCCATTTTGCCATTTGGCCATTTTGTCACTTCGCCATTTCTTTATTTCGCCATTTCGCCAAATTCGTCATCTTTCTCGTGCATTCTATGAATTATTCACTACGACTAGCTATCCATATGCGTATAACGGGGGTGGGGGTTGACTTATTTCTTTAAATATTCTTTGGTAATCAGACAAATGGGGCCTGACCGGAACATGACCGGATTAGTCGAAAATGGCTCGCATTACAATATCATGTATATCTTCATAAAAATATGTTAAGCGGTTATAGAATCAAAACAAAAACTTAATTCTAAAATTTCTATTTTAAACACCAAGTTTTTACTATCCATGTTTTATATAAACAAATTAGTTGTTACACCCTGTATGATAATCCTGTTGCTGCAGATATTTGTGGAGTTGATTCATTACAATTTGTGCAAGTACTTTAAATTGTCTTGTTAAGTACTCTGAGAGTATTTTATTTTTTATTTTCAACTGAACCAGTTTCTTCGAATTAGTAAACTAAATCTCGAATATAAAATATAACTTTAATTTTTTCGGTCTGGATTTTTTTGGTTAACAGCTGAAGATATTCTCAAAAAATAATGATTCTCGAAAACAAATATGAAGTTTTTTTTACATGCTCAGTTAGAGTATAAACCATTATTATAAAATATTCAGACATTTTATTATGATTAATTTTTTGCTCTTTATCATCTTTTGGTGTAGTAATTACATTTTTCTCCTCTTAGTGTGATTTTTACCTTGCAAGAGATCCTTGACTTATAGCATTCGTTAATATCTTTTGATTCCATAGTTCCTTTTATTTTTACATTGAGGGTTAAAGAACACTTTTTTAATTAGTTTTGATATGAATATACATAAGTCAAATGAGGTAACCAGTAGTGAATAGGATTAAGGAGCATTTAATGTATTTAATATATTTTTAATGACTTTTTAGGTATAAGATCGCTGTTAACTACATATATGCAAAAGGAACTCCAACCAGCCATAAAGGAAACTTTGATGAGAAATATGGGTTATACAGTATCATATGGTTAGCGATATATTTTATTGAAAATATCACGGTTGTTTTCATCTATATGTAAATTATAATTAATAAACAGATAAATAAAAAATAATGTTAAATTATTAACTGTTAAAGTTATATTGTGTATACAAGGTAAGTCCATAATGTTATCAATTCTTCGACAGATTATTTAAAGGTCTTAATGCCTCAGATCTATTATCCATCCCTTTCCCACCAATTCTAGATATCTCTTCATCTATTCCGCAATAATTCAGATGCATCCTATCGACATACTTGTCCTTATCTATAATTCCGTATATAATTGGACTCAACAGCTCTCTAGCGACTGGTGGATTATTTTCTTTTGATAAATAGCTTATAACTAAAGCTACTATAATTCAGATTAAAGCGCCAATCATGCAGAACCAATAAAAGGAGATGGAGAAAATTTTTAGATACATTGGAATATTTTCTGTTTTCACCATAGAGCTAAAAAATAAGAAAAACGAACTAAGTAATCATTCCTAAAAGAGCTTTTAGGAAAATCTGATTTTTGAGACTTACATGGGTGTCGAATTTGTAAAATATTGACTATTAGTTAAATTTGTATAGTTAAAGTAGTGAAAGCATTTTTCAGTAGATACTGGCTTTGTTGAAGATTTTATTATATGAGTGAAATATTGGGAACCACAAACCAATATTATCATTAATATTGTACTAATTAAGGTACCGAAAAATGCTCCCTAAAATACAATAATATATAATTAGCACATAATGAATGCATTTAAAAACTTCTTACATTCGAAGTTGCTCTAGGAAATAAAAAGCCCAGAGTAAATAGACCTAATAGCGGACCTTGAGCTATACTAGTTATTTTCAACATTAGGGGAAGTATTCCTTCAAAATATTTCACGGTGTACGCTAATGCTGTAGTGAGAATACCAATGATAACGACAAACGATCTTATAAATGCAGTCGAATTCCTTTGATGTTTCTCAATTAACTTTGATTTTACCAAATCTTCGTATACAGTTGTAGCTGCGCCGGTTAAGTTAGATGAAAAAAGCTGTAACAATATTTCCAAATGAATAAAATAGAGACGAGAAAAGAGGTCACAAATATGAACCTTGAAGTACAGCTCAATTTATGTATTACAAGCTTCACTTTGGTTTTTATCTAATCTAATTGATAGAAGATGGTGGTGCCATTAAAATAACGCATAAATATGGTTACAGTTTGTTCGCTATACTTACGCGGGTTTCGGATTAAAAATGTAATGAGTATTTTCAGGTAAGTACCCGAAAGTTTGACCTTTTCTTTGGGGAAATATCAACTGGTTAAATGAAATGAAAAATAATGTACAACTTTTTAATTAAATATTAATGGAGAATCTTTTGTATAATTGAGAGCAGAATTAAACTTCTTCATTTATGGAGTCTAATGTGGCTATAATAAACCTAATAATAATTTTATATTACACTTCACACAAAAAATATGGTCTATGTATAACAAGAGGATTATTTAGCTCAAATAAAATATTTTCTAACATAAAAATTTGTTCCATGTAGAGAATTTCAAATTAAAAATAAAAAAATTGAACTTGCCAACATTATCATCCAAAATATCATAATTGTCGTCATCATCATCACTGTCATCACCATTAATTGTTATTATGATTGGACTTATTTCGTTTATTTTATTTTCACGAGTCCACCAATCTTCTATTAGTTTCTCGCACTTGGATATACAGTTCCGCCACACTTCTGGAGTTGCAATTGAGTGCAAGTGCTTTTCGCCAAGTTTCCCGAACTGCGTCGTCACTATAACCATTAGGCCCAATATGGTTGTCATAATATTGTTTTACTATTCCCCATATATATTCAATGGGATTAAACTGGCAATGATACGGTGGCAGACGTAAAACTTGATGACCGTAACTTTCAATAATATGATCCACAACAAAGGTTTTTGGTTTTGCGTGTATATTTGCCAAGCGTAATAATTCTGATTTTAATATATATTGAGGAAATGGTATATGGTCCTTTGTCAACCATTCTTTAATTTTATCAACAGTCCAAGAATTCGTTGGACTTTTGTTTAATACTTCAGAATGGTAAGGTGCATTGTCTAAAATAATTACGTTGGGCTCACTTAAACCTGGGAGAAGTTTTTCATGCAACATTTTACAAACATTTCTGTGGTCATATTATCGTGATAGTCACTGGATTTTGATTTAGGTGAAAATATTAAATCAGCACTTTCTATAAAACCCGATTTCCCTCCTGCATGTAAAATTATGTGTCGCTTCCCTTCTCCATCGGTATGTTTGATGGACTTTACGTTATCATCTTGCCATATTCGCTTGTTCAGACGTGCAAATTAATACGACTTGTGATGTATGTGCTTGCAATCTTGCATGAACGTGTTTGATTCTTCACCAATATAAATACGAATGTCAAGGATAATCGTTACTCATTTGTTTCTGAAATTTCATAAAGAAAAGTGAATCGATATCAGTGTTGCCCAGTGACTGAATTTGTTTCCAGACTTTCGAAAAAAAAAGTAAAGTGAATCGATATTAGTGATTGCCAGTGTCGGAAAAGTAATAATTTTATATCACATTATAAGTTAAGCCGTTTTCATAAAACTCTATTATGGATCTTAGCGATTTATTGCTTTTAATAATTAGAAAAAGTTTTCAGCCGGAACTTTCATAATATTTATAATAATTGATAATCATATTATGTTAAAATAGCCATATCCTGTTGAGTTCGAATCGCCTTAAGATTACTCAAACAAAGTTTTTTTTTATTTATTTACTTACACATTTACAGGTAGGTAATTGATATAAAACATGGCCAAATCTAAGAAGTGTCGTCAGTACAGTGTTAAATTTGGTTTTCTTCCATCAATGGCAGACAAACGATTTTTTTTTCTCTCCTGGGCTCGTCTGACTATGTGTCTCCGAATAACACTGAAGCCTATTGGCTTATTATGTTTTACCCCATGTTAGTTCATAGCACCCACTCTATCACCTTTGTACCTTGTACAAGTTTGTACAGATCCTTGGGTGAGTGGGTTCTATACTTTATTGGATCAACCTGGGGTTGTCCAAAAAGAGCCTGTCTTTTGCGATCTAGAGCTTCACATTCGCACAGTATGTGTTTGGCCGTTTCTGGTTTCTTGTGACATAGTCGGCACATGAGTTCCCCATTGTACATGCCAATTTTGTTCAAGTGTCCCTTTACTGGGGCGTGCCCAGTCATGAACCCTGTTATCACTTTCAACTGGTTCCTATTCATTAAGAGTAGTTCTCCAGTTCTTTTGGGACATGGTCTGCCTATGAAGGCTTTTCCATGTGCCTGTTTTTGGGGGTGCTTCCCCAATAGTTGATATGTTGTTCCCGAATCCAGTCATTTATAAAACCCCGGACTGTACTTTTTGGTACTCCTGAGTTTGTGTCTGGTTCCAGTGTTTCTTCTGACCCTCTTTTTGCAAGTTCGTCAGCCTTTTTGGAGAGTAAAGATCCTGAATTAAAAAAAAAACTTAATTAATTTTAAAGCAGACATCGCGTATTTGACAGATTTGTTCAAAAAATTTAATGACCTTAACTTACAATTACAAGGGGACAGCCTCAATTTAATAAAAACAAAGAGTCTAATTTCAGCTTTTCTTGGTAAATTGAAATTTATGAAGGAAAATATTGGTCGGCGCGAATTTTCACAGTTTTCAAACTTGTCGCAGATAGAATGCCTTGATGAAGATATTCAGACATACGTTCAACATTTGATTGCCCTGCATGATGATTTTAAATTCAGATTTGAAGATATTTTGTCGATGGAAATACCACCATGGATCATAAATCCATATGATGAAACGGAAGTGGAGAATGTGATATTACAAGAGGAGCTACTCGATTTTAGCACTAATGGGGGAGCTGAAAGTGACATTTAAAAAAGGATATCAAAAATTTTGGCTGCAGGCAGAAATACCCGAAAAATATCCTGGACTGTGGAGAATTGTGCAAAAGCTTCTAATAGTGTTTCCCTCGTCATATCTCGTCAAAAAAAGTTTTAGTGTCGTTACAAACTTATTAATAAAAAAAGAGCAGATTGAATATCACAGAAAGGGGAGATTTACAGTTATTCCTTCCAAAAGTCAAGCCAAATATTGATAATTTGTCGTCAATCCATCAAGTACATCCCTCTCATTAAAATTATATTTTTTTGTTATTACCATTGTCGAAATTCATTACGTTATAAGTGTTTAATTTTTATTATATTACGACGGTTATAACAATAATAATTAATAGTGTAATAATTTATATATTTAAATTTAAAGAAAAACCTACAACATAAGGAAATATACTATATTTCTTTTTATCACTCCGAATGAGACGTTTTCTAAATAAAATTTGTGAGAATTGATTGGTTCTTGTGCTGTGGTCACTGTAGATTTCAAAAAAGTAAAGTTGGATGGAGTCACTTTTTCGTTTGGCCAACTTTGCTTTTTTGACATCTACTCACAGCACAATCAATTAAAATTTAATTGAAAATTTGTTTAGTCGACTTTATTATCAAATAATTAACCCTATCAAGCAATCAATTCTAACCTTTTTTCGAAAACTGTTAATTCGTCGTTAAAACTCAGCCACATCGCAAGTTTCCATAGATAGATCTAATCTTCACTTTTTTTTTTCAGGATTTAGAAATTGGTAGTGATGTAGCTACCGGATTTAGCAAAATTTTGAAAGTAGTCTATGAAACAAAAGAGTTTGGGAACCTCTGGTTTATATGGTCCGAGTTTCAATTTCTAAATTAGTAATAATAAATTAAAAGGGATAAATAATAGGTATTTATAAAAGATATGTTTTATTTCCTCAAATATCTAATATAAATAATATAAAATATATGTACAAATTTATTGCCAATTAAATTTTAAATTTTAAAATATAATTGACAAAACTCAAAACTTTTTCAAAAATTCTAGCAAGAAATTATGATATTACATCAAAAATAGTAATTTTATTAAATTATTAATATAAATTGGTAAATATCATTAACATTGCCTGTTTTTAAATTTATGCAATTATCGTGATCCTCAGAACATAACTAAAAGTTGGTACTCTTTATAAATAATCAACTAAAAATTTCAAATATCAACATTAGAAAGCATTGACATCTTCCTCATTCGCTCCTGCCTCATTTCTTCCCATTTGGAGGACGTCCTATCCAGGTTCTTCCCTTCTAGTCTAGAAATTGCCTCATCTATTCCGGAATATTCCAAATCCAATCTATTTATGTATTTATCTTCGTCTATAATACCATAAATGATCGGACTTAATAGCTCTCTAGCAACTGGCGGATCATTTTCTTCAGAAAAGTAGCTGATAATTAAAGCTACTACTATGCAAATTGTAGAACCTATAAGGCAGTACCAATAGAATGAGATAGAGAAGATTTTTAAATACACTGAAATATCTTCAGTTGGTATTGTAGGACTAAAACAAAAGAGATAAATAAATAATAGAGGCCTTAGAATTGGTTCCTGAAGCAAACCAATAGCATTCTTTAGATTTACGACCGTAAATGTTTCATAACCTTTGAACCATGCGCATATTTCGCTGTTTTGGTTTTACCATAATTGGTTCTGAACCTGTCCATTCTGTGCTTTAGATTTTCTTGGAAATGGTTTCATAACCATTCTCGAACAGTAACTTCGCTTCTGCCCCAAAGCAAGAACTGTTTCAAAATTAATATGTTCCGCTTTTTTTAATTGGTTTTGTTAAACATATCCTGGCCATATTTTGTGCTGGCATTTTTGCAAGGAAATTTCAAATGACTAAAGAAAATGAGGCACCGTAATCTGGGGTGAGATCGGACACATTTTAAAGGTTTTTTCTTAATAGCAAGAGGCTAGATTTTTTAAAAACCTGAAAAAATTAATATAAGAACCTTAAACCTTCCTCTATCGAATACAGTATTTGTTTTTTGCATATTTCAAAAAATTCTATTTTTTTTTTTATTATTGAAAGGTGTCCGAACTCACCCCTATGGGTGGTCTAAGTTCGGATCACCTTTAATTTATAGGAAAATCCAAACTTAATTTATAGTAAGAGTGTGTTCGGACAAATATAATTAAATATACATATATACAGATTTCATAAAAAAAATTTCTTAGGGGGGATAGGGGGTCCAAACACAATTTCGGTACGAACAATTTTATTTAAAGTAATAAAACTCAAATATTTTTCCAAAAAAACATAAAAACATTTAAAAACACGTAATAACTATGTTATTAACCAAGAACATAAACAATAAAACTAAAATAAGTTTCCAAAAAACATAAAAACATTTAAAAAAACACGTAATAACTATGTTATTAACAAAGAACATTGCAATAAAGTCATTATTCTATTTTGATGTTGTCGGGAAGGTGCTTAAAAAAGTGCCTTCTTTTAGAAGAATTTTTTTAAAAATATCTTTTTTAAACGCAAGTCCCTCATCAGAAATATCGGGAAATATAAAATAATTATTTTTTTCGCCTTTTATTCTAAGATATTTTACTGAAAAAAGCTCTTCCTTTATATCAACAATTTTATCTATAAGACCAACAAAATATCGAAATTTTTTTCGGTCTTCACAAGGAACGGAAACTACAACGAAATCTCCCACTTCAATGAGATTTTGATCAACTTCTGGTTCTCTCTCATAAGTGCTGGTAGAAGGTTGCTCAAATACAGACATTTCATTTTCGTCTTCATAAACGTTTTCTTCCTCTTCTACGCAAATGTTTTCCACATCATTCTCCTCAAAAATGATATTTTCTTCTTGGGGAAGATCTTCTGTTCTCACACCTTTTCCAGGGGCAACATTCAGCTTTTTACCCCTCCTCGGTTTTTCGCTTTTTTCCTTCCATCTACAGTCTTTTAAATATTCGGAAAAACTTTGGCTCCAGTGATCATTAGCATTATCCTTTTCTGCTGTCTTTCCGGACAACTTTTCCAAAACTATTTCAACGTTTAATGGAACAATTCCACAAGCTCTAAAACCAGATTTGATATTTTTGTCGATATTCGGGCCCAAAGATTCTAAAGTTTTCTTTAAAAGACGAGGAAATTCTGATTTAGGCAGGACACCTTTATTTTTCATTTTCCAATCAGTCAAGTTTGTACGCCAGTGTTTCTTCATGGGGCCAAAAAACGCAACATCCAGAGGTTGCAGCAAGTGGGTGGCATATGGGGGTAATAAAATGAAATGAACGTCGTTTTCTTCACATTGCTTAATCACAAACAATGACAAGTGACTGGAAAGATTGTCGCCAATTAACAACTTTCGCCCTTCTAACTTGCGGAAATATGGCAAAACCACTTGTAAAAACCAGTCTTCAAATATTGGTGACTCAAACCACCCACTTTTCGATCTACTGTATACAGTGCCTTCTGGGCCCCCTTCTATCCAAGTTGGGAAAATATGAAGAGCTCGGTATACGACATATGGAGGCAGCAAAACACCTGAAGCACTAGCAGCCATCATAATTGACGTGCTGCTTTTAGAAGAATCAATAATTCTATTTATATGTTTGGATCCTTTTTTACCAACGACCTTTGATCTTCCAGGATCGACAGTTAAATTGGATTCATCATAATTAATTATGTTCTCTGGAGGAATAGGTCCCATAACAGCCTGAAGGTTATCAAAATATTCTTGAACTTTTTGCCTATCGACTTCTGCTCTACTCCTCTTGATATTTTGTGCAAGGCGCTCCGATAAAATTTTATGTCTAAACATAAATCCATAAAACCAATCTTCCCCTGGCATGTTGTCTTTAAATCCTGTGATTTTTGTTCCGGATCTGTCCAAATATGATTTGACGATTAGGCGAATATCCAGCATAGTTAAGGGAAAGCCCCATTCGGCGGAAGTTAAAATTCCTTGTGCCAGTTCACTCTCTTGTTCTTGGCTTAATTTGGTTTGCCCGCCACTTTTTTTAGCGTGCTTACCTGTCATTTTGTCATTTATTGTCGATTTTGGTATGTTGTAGAACTCTGCTGCCTCCCTCAGGGTCTTCCTTTTAGTCCTGACATCTTCAACAGCCTTATTTAAAGCCTCTTTGGCATAGATGGATCTTTGTTTTACGCCAAGAGGACGCCTGTAATTTCTGGGCATGGTGTCCGAACTCGCCCCACGAAAAGCTATATTTTTTCTATAACAAGAAAAAAAAAATTCGGGAATGAAAAAATAAATGATAATTATTCATGAATCATTAGAAAACATATAAACCTACATTATATGAAAAATTACGATTCAATTGCTTACAGATCCCTTCCCCCAGATGTTTGTTTCTAACGTTATAAAAAATATGCAAATTACGACCCATATCAAAATATCCCGTACTTACCACAAACTTTCTCTAGCGGCAATTTCTACCTAACTGGAGTGAAATGAGACAATATTGGACATGTAAACACATGCAAAAAACTTCGCCAATGAAAAACGTGCTCGTGGTCACGTGATTTTCCACGCCGCGCACCATTGTCCGAACTCGTACTACCTGTCCGATCTCACCCCAGATTACGGCATCTCATTAAATGATGTTATGTTATAAGTTTGTTAATGAATATATTATTTAATTTATCTACGTTTCATAATATTGCTTGGCCTCTTTCTGAATTAGACAATAACCCTTTATTTCTTCTTTTTTATTTATTAATTACTTTTTGACATTTAATTTTTTTAGCAGTATTTTGCTTTCAAGTTCAAATGAAATTGTTACAAAATTAAAGACTATGGTGCAATAATTAGGCGCATGGTTCTGAAACAATTCTTGAACGAGAACCAAAAAAACCTGTTATATTGATATTATCGCCTGTAGTGTCATGGGACTCACCTTGATGTACTTGTTAAAAATGGACTAATTGTTAAATTTGTTGTGTTTAAACAACCTTCTATGGATACAGGTTTTACTACAGCTTTTAACGCATGAATTGATTTTAAGTAGTTAGCTCCAAAGACCAAAGTTATCATACAAATGGTACTGACTATAGCGCCGTAAAAGGCTCCCTGAAACAATAATGTAAAAGTAACAACCTGCACATAAGTTTTTAGATAAGAACTTACTTTCGAATTAGCTCTTGGAAACAGAACTCCTAATGTGAATAGCCCGAGCAAAGGTCCTTGCGCTATACCGTTCAATCCAATGTTAAGAGATAATAAACCTCCTAAATGTTCTACGATATATACCAGAGCAGTAGTGATAATTCCGATGATGACAACGAAGGATTTTAGAAAGATGGCTGGATTTCTTTGACGTTTCTCGCTCAATTTGGCTTTTACAAAATCTTCATATATGGTTCCAGCCAAACTGTTTAAGTTAGCAGATAAAGAACTGTAAAAAAGTATAGAATATTTATAGGTATATGCAGAGACGGATCTTCTGTGACGTGAAGCAAATAAAGACTACTAATAAGAGAGAAACGCTTGTTGCAGAATACGTTTGCCTCCCACCACTCCCACTTACGCTAGCCTCTTGTCCCAGTTGTCTTATGGGCGATTTTCAGTTCAATCAGAGGCATTTGTCAAGTAAAGAAGAAAAATAAAATAGTATGTTGGATGTCAGTCGATAAAAGACATAATAAATTTGTCGTAAACCATAATTATTCGGATTATTTAAAAATTTGAGAAATGTGGATGGGAATAGAGTTGTCGAAAATGCAGTAACGTCAATGAAGAGCCACGTGTAAAACCGTTTAATGTGAAGCGTGAAAATAAAGAAATAAATCTCTGCGGTCCTCTTTGATTAGCAGTTTTTATATGATACACATTTGTCCCTATTATACCTTGTTTAATTAGTTATAAAGCAGATAATCCGCACTTAACTTTCCGTATCTGTATATCATGGAAAAGTTGTAAAAATAAGTACATTTAAAACGGTTTTCAGGACTCTCAGATAATTATCTCAGTGAATTATATTGTTGATAAACTAAAATACGTCTTACCTTAACGATGCACAAAACACTCCTGCAATAAACAATCCAGATAACCCCGGAATTTTTCCAGCCACTTCTAGGACATAGTAAGGAAGTATTTCGTTACTATGCGCAATCTTGTGCGAAGTTAAGGGATCACATTTTTCGTAATTGGCGTATAAAGCTAGACCAGTCAATACACCAAGAGTTTTAACCAATGACATACCCAGACCGCAATACAGGCAGACTACTCTAAAAAAAATTATATAATTAAAAAATACATTTAAAACAGATGGGGACATAATGTCCAAAAACAAGTATAATGAGGAAAATATTTTCAAAAAGAATAGAGGAGCTAGTATTTAGTATTTAGAGAATACTTGTCTGACTAATGGAAACAATAACCTCTATTTAAGTAGTTACATTTAAAGCAATATTATACCCAAATGTACAATATACTATTGGCATCTGGAGTGATGCTTCCTTACCTTGTAGATACTTTGATAATATAAGCTGTTCTGTTCAGCTTACTTCTCATTTAAGAAGCAATGAAACAGTATTACACAATTAATACCTGTAAAGGTATTATTTCCAGGTTGTAATAAATAATTATTAATGGCATTTAATACTTTATTGAACGTCGTCTTCCATACATAGGTTCGGTAACATGACAATTGACAATGCCGACTGTCAATTCCTAGTTGACAGATCAGTCATCTGTCAACTTGGATTGACACTTGCTGGTGCCAACTTATATTAAAACACTAATCCTGACATCTTCCCTTTTTAAAGGTTTGGCTTATCTGGAGGTTTAACTAATCTACCTGAAGAAATTACTTTCTCCTCTGTACTGTAACTCTGAGGAGGTAAGTTAGTTGAGCCACTTAACAATATTTTATTTCTATCCTCTAACACTAGTTCCCCATTGTTACTATCATCTTCTGATTCTGATTCACTATTCCTTATCTCGAGATCACTTTCTTTTTGCACTATCTCTATCTCACTACTCACACTTTATTTAAGTTTATTTCACTTTTTTCACTGACTTCAGTCTCTATCTCATCTTCCTCTATTTCTAATAAATATTTTACATTCTCCGGAGTTATTTTTCTAACAGGTTTATAGCTATTGCTGGTAGGAAAATGGTTTTGATTTGATTTCTTATCTGACTGATTTTTTTTATTTACTATTTTTATACATTTTCGGTTTCGAACTAACTCAAAACTATTTTCTAATTTGACTCTATAACATCTATCCCTTATTTTCTGTATTACAACTCCGGGCGTCCAACCACTATTTGGTGCTTTTTGAACATAAACATCAGAGTTGATGGGAATATCAGACAGTGGTTTGATACCTTTGTTGTAATATTCTTGTTGTGTAACTTGAGTTGCCATAACATTTTCTTTATTATAATTACTTATTTTAGGTTTATAAGATTGATCTATACCAATTATATTTGACATGATTTTTCGAGACATTAATATTTGGGATGGAGAGTTTTGACCATCTATAGTAGAATTTTTATAATTTAACAATGCTAAATAAATATCTTTTCCTTCATCTACACATTTTTTAATTATTTTTTTAATTGTTTGAATACGCCTTTCTGCCATGCCATTACTTTGTGCATAGGTAAGTGAACTCATCGTGTGGATAAACTCCCATTCCCTAGCAAAAATTTTGAATTCTTGAGAACTAAATTGTGGCCCTCTATGTGAAACTACTGTTAGTGGTATTCCAGGAGTTGAAAATATTGACTTCAAAGAATCTATTATATTTTTACTAGTTGTATTTTCATTTAATGTAGTAATTTCTGTTGTCCTAGTTGAGAAATCAGTCATCTGTAAACTTGGATTGACACTCGCTGGTGCCATTTTATATTAAAACACTAATCCTAACAATACCTATCTAAATAATAAGTAAAAAAAACTAACTTACAGCTTGGACTGTTTCAGTGTTGGTACTGCCAAAAACTTTTGAGTACATCCTTGATTAATACTCATCATAGCGACCCAGTAAATCGTAAATCCAATAATTATTGTCCAAAATGAATCTCTTTCAGTCAAATCTAAACCAAAGCTAAAAAATACAATGATAACGTTAATTACTAGTTGTTAGTAGTTTTTCAGTATTTTGAGAGATTTCGATTAGTTACGAAAGGATCAGCTTTTGAACATATCTGGATCAGCTTTTAAGTATGTATCTTATTTCTGATTAAAAGGTGATCCAGATCTGGTCAAGATCTTACAGCTGTCTGTTTGGTATATCGTATGTTTTTTTTATTTTAATTTATTTCTTACCTAAATGTAACCATACGTTCTCCTTCACGAGCGATTCTGAAAATATTTGAGAGTCCACCAACTTTGTTCACACCTATTACCATTATGGCTAAAAGGGAACCTATTGTTCCCGAAAATAAAAGAGTATCCGACCATACCAAGGCCTTCAATCCACCAATAGCTGTGTAGAATATGCAAATTCCACAAATCAAAGGTATAACTAAGTTTTTGTTCAAACCAGTTGCTAAAAAAAGGTAAAACGATGTTTAATTGGCACATTCTTTGATTTATTTCTGACTTAAAACAAAGATAGATATAATTTATTAAGATATTAAATAAGAACGGTTCCAAAACAGATCCCTGTGTAACGCAATTATCAGAGATAGGATACCATAAATGACTGGACATCTGTAATAGATGTGACGTAAAAAACTGGCAACTAATCCAAAAATGTATAACTTTTTAGGTAGAATTGAAGAAAGCTTTATGAAAAATACCATTAAGTCAAGAATATGTACAATAATTTGTATAATTAGTATTTAATCTCATTCACAATTAATATTTTTTTTCAGCACTGTATATAGAGGAATAACAAAAATATGATCTACTCACCTGATGAAAATGCCAAGGCAGGTATGTACGTCACAATCGGAATGTGAAGAAAAACGGATATAGTAAACAGTATGGATGAAAATTTTCTCGTTCTTTTGTCAAATCTTATACCCAAATATTCGTAAGTGCTGGTTAATTGCAGTTTGTAGAAAACAGGCATGAAAATATATACAGTGACCATAGTTACTAGGATTAGGCAAAAAACGCACAACCAATAATTTGCTCCGTGCATGTATACCTCAGAAGGTAAAGCTAGTAAAGTTACTCCAGAGCAATGACTGGAAAGTACAACATTATTAATTATCCAATAACTAACTAAAAAGTTAAAAATATTACGAATTTTTTTACCTTGCCACTAGAGATATCACCACTGGCAACACCTTCATATTTCCTCCAGCATGCAAATAGTCCTTAGCAGTCTGCTTCTTACCAAAACATCCAAAATATATTCCTATTCCTAAACTAAGAGAGAGCATTACGCAAAAGAGAACGTAATCGTACCAAGAAAAAAACGTTCCAACTGCCTCAATACTTGGCATCGCGCTGGTGTTTGTCGCTTCATTTAGAGCGGACGTGGTTACAGTAGAGACAAGTCTGGATGGCATGGCGGTTGACGCATCTTCGTGAAGAGTTGATAAGATTGTGGAGGTCATGTAGGAGTTTTCCATCTAAAATATGTATTAAGAATATAATAGTGGAAAATCAGAAAAAAGATAGTTTAATAGTATAGAGGTCATTCACTGAATTTACACCCACATCGGATTAAGAAACAGATGTACGACTGAGCCGGTCTACAGGATAATTTCGCATCAGGTAGTTGAGTACAATAATCGTAGTCCTCCGGTGGGTAGAGGGTGAATATATTTTAATTATTAAATACACGAAAAAATTTAAATATTTATAATTTTGTTTTGGACATTGTTTATGGTAATACTATTTTCCCCGAATACAATAAACGCTTTATGGTCAGGAATTTCCGGAAGTCCCCTTCTCAGGTATAAAATTAAGATTAAATGTTCTATTTTTGTACTGATGTTATAGGACTAATTGCGCTAAATTATTTAGTTTAGTTTCGGATTTTGAAGAGAACGTATGTCGAAACTGAAAATGCCGAAGCGCGTGTTACGTGTAGATGACTTGATTTGTAATCTACATAAGTATTTTACGGCGGAAAAAGATAACGAAGAACCTTTAAAGCCAGTAGTGAGTGTGCATGAACGTGTCTGTACAGCTCTCGGAATTAGTGATTCAAAATTAAAATATGTTTTGAAAAACGTCAAAAGCGGAGAGAGCAAAAAAAAAGAAAAAATACGCACCTCGCAAAAAACTGAAAACGTCGGATATATCTGGTGGGACAAAATTTCGTATTCATGATATGGTGTATAAAATGGAGAAAAAGGAACATGTCAACTTAGACACATTGCTGGATAACTTAAGAGAAATTGGTGAATTTGGCAGAACAAGTCTTTGGAAGTTGCTTGAGGAAATAGGTTTCAAATTTAAGAAAGAAGATAACAGAAAAGCTTTATGTGAAAAAAATAATGTTGTTCACAAAAGAATACATTTTTTAAGAGAATACACTCGTTTAAAAGAGAATGGAGCTTCGTTTATATATTTGGATGAAACCTGGATATTTTTCAAAGGTGGGACGAAAAGAATATGACAAGATGAAAATATGAAATCAATAAAACATACTAATGGTGAAAGAAAGCGACACATAATTTTGCACTCAGGTGGAAAGAATGGATTTGTGGATGGTGCAGGATTAATGTTTTCCTCTAAATCAAAATCAGAAGACTACCACGATAACATAAACTCGGATATGTTTATCAAATGGTTAAATGAAAAACTATTACCAAATTTAAGTGAACCGTCTGTTATAGTGTTAGATAATGCGAGCTATCACACAGAACTTTTAAACAAACCGCCAAGACAGAATTGGACTGTAGCCAAAATACAAGAATGGCTACGTTACGAAAATGTTGCATTTCCACAATACGCCCTTAAATCTGAGTTGTTAACTTTAGCCAAACGGCACGAACCACTACAAATTTATATGGTAGATCAAGTCATACATAGTTATGGACATGATGTGTTACGGCTTCCACCGTACCATTGTCAGTTTAACCCCACTGAATACATTTGGGGTATATGTAAAACGTATTATGACAATCATATTGGAATTAATTGTTACAGCGACGAAGCAGTAAGGGAAATATGGAAACAAGCACTGGATACATCAACCCTAGAAATTTGGCAAAAAAGTGTTCAAGAATGTGATAAATTAATTGACGACTGGTATACACGTGAAAACAGGATTAACGAAATTAACACTATAATTATATCCCTTAATGATGACAGCGACGCTAGTGACACAAATTTTAAGAGTGATGTTGAAGATTTATTGGTATGTCAAAAGACAATTATTTATAATAATCACTGTTTGATATAGAATTTTAAAAGTTATGTTATTTTTTATCATCCTTACTTAATCGCAGGGTAAAACTGTGGATGTAAATTAAAATGTTTTGTTCTGAATAAACTATTATTAAACAACAAAATCATGTAACTATCTCTTTTAAGTTTTCGGAGGCAAAATTAAATACCTAAAATTTATATATTTATTTTGTTTCTATAAGAACCCCTTGCAATATACAAAATAACGCCACCCATGAGTAAATATTTAAAATACAACTGACCAGTCAAATCTTTCATTTATTTCTTAATCCGATATGGGTGTAAATTTAGTGAATGACCTATATTTATATTTCTAGAAACTGCCATTTTTCATATTTATATCACAAATATGTGACATACAAGATACTTATTAAAGAAATATTGCAACATAAATTTGGGAATACCAGACTTGTTTTCGAAAAGAAAAATCAGTTGTAGTATTAAGACAGATTCAAGAAAACAGTAGAGAGTATGAGACAAGACTGCATGCTTATTTTATACTGTCCTCAGGGAGGGGTACCTCTACTGTAAAACATAGTCCTCGACAGCCCAATGAGCCGTCTCAATAACAATAATTTTGATAACATACTCTGCTAAAGAATGCAAATACCTCTCAAATTTATTAAACAGAGGTCCAAGAACCATTCAGTGTCTATCAATCCCAAGAAGGCAGAAATGGTCCCTTTAATAATAAAGATGAAGTACCTAGGTTTTACCTTTGACAGTAAGTTTACAGGAGCTCACACCTAGAAAACAAGGTAAAAAAGTATACATTGCTTATGTACAATATCGCCACACCATGGGCGCACCTGGAGTCTCTTTCCCAGAGTTGACACTCGGACTTACACGGCCATCATAAGAACTATGCTAGATATGTCTTCTATAACCCATAGAAAAATAACTGAACAAATAGAAGGCTTGGAATCAAAAGTTACGATTCATATCTACACTGACAGTTCTAAAACAAAACAAGGCTCATGTAGGATATACTCCAGATCCTCAAACCTAAACATAAAAGGACTGCGAGAAAAAGTGCTAGTGTAGTTCAAGCCGAGCTCACGGGGATTCTCATGACAGCAGAAGATGTTACCGGCAAACAATATTACTGGAAAGAACATGCTCATCTATAGAGATAGTAAACAAGCACTTCTCATCCTGGATAGACCACGAATTTATTCAGGGTTAGTACTAGAATGTCACGAAGCTTTGGCCGAAGTATTCATCAACAATGTGACCATCTTGAGATGAGCAAAGGTCACGCCACATCGAAAGGTAACCGTCTTGCTGATTTACTAGCCAAGAATACAGCCAACCAAATACTTTTTGGACTTGGCCTTACTCTAGACTGACAACATAGGTAGTGACAAACCTAATCAAAGAACATTTCCATCTGATATTCAAGGAACAAATACTTGGCAATGACTAGAAAGAATTTGCGTCTGGTCACAGGTAATCTGACTGATCATCAATTACGAATGGTAATTTTTATCTGATTTTACTTATATTGACATATGTCTTAAGGCACTATATAATATCCTCCTAACTGTATTCGAAGCTCATGTTCCAGTATATAAATCGCATAAACTGACATATCCTACTTCTAATATAATAAAAATATTAAAATCAAGGCAAGATTTTAAAAAAAAAATATAAAAATATTCGTAAAATCAATAAACGATTTTATAATACTGTCACACCTCGTATGCAATAAACTAAGAATGTATATGGAAAAAAGAAAAAATTAACCAGCTAAGTGGACTCGCGCATGAAGGATTCCGCGCCATGGAAAAAGATTTAATACTGTAGGTACTTTTTAAATACTTTATTAAATTCGAGTAGAAAAAGTTAAAAAAAAACATGTTTCTTGTAGGGGAGCCCCCTTAAGTTTTTAATTTATTTTCATTTTTATTATTTGTTGGTTACCCTTCGGGTACGGAACCCTTAAAACTAAACGTGAAGAATTTCTTCTTTAAGGTTCGTTGTCAAATCTCAAATAAATAATTTGTATCGCGAATCGCGAATATTCTGACAAAATAACAAATTTCAATAATTAAGTCAAATAGAACAATGCGTGAGAATCAACTAACAGCTTGATTTTACTAGCACTTAAGGCGACCCATCATTCCGTTCTGCCTGGGAGCATAGATAAATTAATATGTAAGATAAATCGTTTACATGCACGGCACTGGTAACACGTTTAGTTCCTCAGCATACTATTTGGAGCCACCATCGCACATTACACAATTGGCTTGACAGTTAAAGGCAGCACAGAAGAAGAAACTAAAAAGAAGAGTGTCTATTTTTCCCGCGGTTCATTCAAATTTACTTTATTATTTATTTACGTTTTTTCGGAATTCATTACTCAAAAAAAACTAATATTTAAATTAAAATATTGTATTTAACATAAATATTAGTTTTTTAAAGTAATAAAACTCCAAAAAATATAAATAAAGAAATATTTATACTAAAATACTTGAAACACAAACATTTAAACTAAATGTTGTGGCTTGTTATTGTTTACATTTTTGAGTTTGTAAACAAACAGCCCATAAAAAGGTATAGTTTAATCATTTAATACAAGTAAGGTGCATTTAAACGTTTATTACATACATAACATGTACTGGATATTACATAACAATAATTGTAAGTGAAATTAATAGTAGTCTCCTCTCATTCTTGGAAAATGGACCAATTTTCGATGCATGTGTTAAGTGTTTTCTCAGGGCGTTTTCTATAAAAACAAAAAAAAGTGTACATACCTTATTGAACAATTTCTCTTATCAAAATGTTGCCAATTCTTATAAGTACAAGTTAATTTTAATTAATTTATAAAAAAAAATTATTTCTCATAGTTCAATAGTTAATTTGAATTTTATTTTAATTGTAAAACAAATCTGTTCTAGTTGATATAACAAATTAGAGTTTAAAAATTACTTTTCATTTTTGGAAAATGAAAAAAAGTTTTATTTGAATAACCAGCTTGCTGAATATTAGAATACTTATTTAAACAATTAAGAGCTGAACAAGAATACTTAGCTTTGCCATTCGATGCTTTACCCGGGTCAGACATGTTTTGATATTGTTACAAATATATTAAAAAAAGAATTGAAAATAGATTCAAAATGAAATTACTTATATTTCGTGTTAAGGCTAAGAAAACAATGATAAACAAAGTCCTTAAACAAATCTATCACCTAATATTAAATTAAAT